TATAGAATCGTCCATAGTATCCTACTAGGATAACAGACCATTTTGGCTGGGATGGAAGAAAGATGGAAGAGTATAAGAACTTGGGAAATCCACACAAAGGAATAATCACATGAAAATAATAAATATCTGACATAGGAAACCCAGTTCGTTTTGTATCTTACACAGATCTGATAAATTTAAGCCATATTTGTTTATCTGAAGACTATCGAGGGCATAAGAAGTTATCGGGTTTATAGCCCTTGTCAATAGGTAAATAATTAACATAATCAATTATTATATAATCTTCCTGATTTCCAGTCCTTGCATTGAACTCTCCACATAACAAAATTTGCATGAATCGCCATATTCCTGAAGAATGTAAATAAGTTGTCGTTCAAGCATATCAATTCCACTCGTTTCTCTGTTTGCATGGAAAACCCTCAGTGTTGATGTGAACGTTTGTTCACGTTGTGTTTACATGGAAAATGTGTAAGGGGGACAACTCATCAGACTGGCCGCAAACTCTCCGAAGAGTTGGGTGAGTGAGTATGGTTTTATGCCAGCTTTAGCAATATTCAAGCAATATCACGACGGGGGACACCAGGCGTTGAACCCATGTGGGGAATCGAACCCGTGTATTTGGCGTGACGAGTGATCGCTTTAACCACTAGACTTCCCCGCCACCCCAAAGAATTTGGGACATACTGTTTTTAATAACATAGAAATCGTTTCAAGGGACATAAGATATCATAGTCGTCAAATAGATTTTGCAAAACTTCACATTGTCTCTATTACACAGAAAATGTCATTTAATTTTGGACCCGTGAAGATCAGGTCTTCAGCAACCCATTCTTGCCGTAAAAGGCGACTATGCTTGTCGTTAAAAGGTGACTAACGGGAACGGGTGGTCAGGCCCGCTGACTTGGTTGATGAATGTCATCGTTTCCCAATTGCATGGGTCGATGCTCATGATATTAATCACTGGATTGTCTGGTCCAGACTCGATTATTCACAGACCGCCGTCATATAGCTGGAATACTGCTGAGGGCGGCCGCCCCAGGTTTCCAAAAGAATTTCTGACATATGAATATCATCTTCATCATCATCAGAAAATGGAAATAAATTAAGAACCTAAAGAACCTTTAAGTATAATTGTAATCTTAGCTCTTATGTAAAGCGCGTGAAGCGGCGAGAAGACGGAAGTATCTTAGCTATGTTCAGAGCTGGATCACTCCCTGTTGAGACTGGTCGGTACTCCAAGCCTCCCATTCCACTACATGATAGAATATGTAAACATTGTGCTGATAATACTACTACTTTAGTAATAGAAAATGAAATGCATTTCCTTATTGAATTTTATCAGTTATAAGATTGGATTTATTCAGTGATGTCACTTCAATAAATCCCTGTTTTAGTAAATTATGATAAAACAACAGAAGTTAGCATTCCTTGCTCAGCGTGACATTATACAGCCGCATCTTGCAATATCACTGCGATTGTGCTTCAAACGGAGAATCCGTTAGATTTATGTGCGCGTCAGTGCACTCATGTGTGATGTAGTCAATATGATTTTAATAGACTGTTATTGTAATAGTTTTGTTTTAATGTGTGTCGTAGCCTTGTTGGCTGGGCATCATATTCAATTTATTGTATTTTAAAATGATCATGATAATGTAACATATGATGTTTGACAAACAAATAAAATATTTTTTCTCTTCTTCTCCTCTGTGTAATTTCCGACAGCAAAATCGCCGTAATCCATCGTTGTTTGTTGAGTGTCCGCCAGGTTGGTGGTCAAACGAGAACGAAGTACATTAAATGTGGATATATACCTCTGATTCATTTTAATTAACCAATCAGATTCAAGTATTTACTCAAGTTATGGTAAAATGTTCAGAAATTCCTTCGTTTGGTCTTGTAGCACTTCCAATATAGAACTTGTCAGTTCAGCTCGTGTATCCTCCAAAATGGTAAATGGGCTGTGTGTCATCTGGCCTTGTCTTTGATTTTCTGCATGTGTACTGTCCATGGTTTACACAAATTTTCAAATTTGATGTTTGAATGTTTCTCATGCCTTCATGATCAGTTTTGCACTTACTTATGCGTTACTGGTTTAGCATGTTTTATGGGACGCATTGACGAGAGTTTTCATCCCTAGCGTGTTTACCAAGCGGAAATTACAAATATCTATCATTTGTTTGTTCGTTGTTTTAGGCCATTCTCAGCAATAGTCAAGCTATATGACGGCAGTCTGTAAGTATTCGAGTCCGGACCAGACGTTCCAGTGATTTACATCATGGGCATCGATCTAGTCAAATGGGACCAAGTCAGCGAGCCTGACCAATCTATCCTGTTCGTGAATAAATTGTTTATTGTTAGGTGATTTTTACTGGTCCCAAAAATTTCAAACTGACATGTCCACCATGTACACCATGAAGAATCTTACTCTGACAGATATTGGATGTTATCTTCACAATCAAACCCCAACATGGGTAGAATATGGAGAATCTCACCCGAGTGTCTTTTGATATCAAATATATCAACACAAGTTGATAAAAGTGGAAAAATTCCGAGGCTTGCCGAGGATTTTTCCACTTTTATCAACGAGTGTTGATATATTTGATATCAAAAGACACGAGGGTGAGATTTTATTTATCATCCAACATCAATCTTCCAACTTTTTCAATTTGTCGACAGTAATTAGCAGTGATTTCAGTGTAAAAAGTACTGCTAAAAGCTTCAGAAGCAGAGCCATTAGTGATGTCATTTGATTGTGACGTTATGGTAACCGGTGACGTCACAATGGTCTGCAAAGCATTGTGATGTAATTTCATTGCAGCGATATCTACAGTGTAGATATCGCTTGATCTCATCCAAGCGATATCTCCTGTGGGAGCCAGTTTTGGATGATAAATCATGCTTAATATATTGTTTCAGTGTTAGTTATTGGCGGGAGGATCTCTGACCAGGAGATAAGATGTGAGTAACCTGGAAGATTCCCCGTCCTTGACTTCAGGAACATGTAATCACCACCCAAACCGTCCCTTCTGCTGGCTCGGGATGTCGGATCTGTTAGATCAGACCTGACCTCGGGTGGTCAGATGCATTCGTGGGGTTCTATTTCAAACATTGATATTGGAAAATAGAGTGATCCTGGTGATAAGTCAGACCCAGTCTTCAGCCGGGAACCAACGCAGTGGACTGAGTGTATGTGTTGCCACATGCCCCAACCACCGGCAGCAGCTGTCTCCCGGTGTGACATAATAACACTGTCCTCACTGACCTCCTACTCACTCAGAACAGAATTGGACATTCTGATGGCCTAAAGCTGTGTTTCCTGCTGGAGCCACCAACGAACTGTTAGTTATTAAAGCTGCTGATAAAACAGTGTACACCACTGTTACATATGTTGCTTTTTATAGACCCATGTGGGACATGATGTATGTTGGCATTCCCTCCAAGGCGATTCCTCATGGAGGAGAACTGATAGGTGTCAACTTATCACAGGATCAACATGGAATACAGTCTGTCGAAATGGCCACATTGTTGATGTGTCAGTACAGGGGAGATCACTCCTGGCATCCTTAAGTCTTGAATGTTCATGCCACGTGCACCGTCTTGTATTGATTGTGCTTCCAACCGTGCGTGTCTAGTTATTTCTGTAGTTAATCTGTACCCTGTAAATTGATTGTCTGTACAATGATTATTTGTAGTGTAGTTTGTAGTGTTGTGAATATAATACAGCTGATATTGTGTCCATGTAGCTGCCAACCGTGGTTCAGTCGTTAGTTAGCACACTTTTATGATAACTAGTAACTTCTCGATCTGTTCTTACACATCAGACAGTTGTGTAATATGCATGTGTGCAAGTAGTCTGTAATGTATTGGCTGACTTTTTTTCTGTGCATGCAATTATTAAGCGTTTAGTGCGTTCAGTTATCGTCTGAATGTATACGTGCATAACTTCTTCAACAAGTTAGTGGACCAGTGAAGATCCGGGGTAGAATAGGTCTTCAGCAACCCATGCTTGCCGTAAAAGGCGACTATGCTTGCCGTAAAAGGCGACTATGCTTGTCGTAAAAGGCGACTAACGGGATCGGGTGGTCAGGCTCACTGACAAGATTGATGCATGTCATCGATACAAATTGCGTGGATCGAAGCTCATGATATCACTCCCTATATTGTCTGGTCCAGACCCCATTATTTACAGACCGCCGTCATATAGCTGGAATATTGCTGAGTGCGGCGTTAAACAACAAACCAACCAATTCCTCAAAGACAAAGTATGAAACGTACCTTGTGGAAAAGTACCTTGTGCATACTCAAATCAAGCCTGAGAAAAATGTTGGTAGAAACTTACATCAAATGAAGGTGTACAACACATACAGTGTCTGAGATATTGTGTCATTTCCGATTAAAAGCAATGTATATATTATTTCATAGAATATAGTATTACATTATGTAATACAGAGCTGGTTCATTTCAAGTGACAAATCTTAATTTCCCTGTGCGTACACAGCATTTCTTAGTATGTGCCCAGTCGTCAGATACGACTGCAGGAACTTCTTCATCTCTTCTCCAAACTAAATATATCCCAATATCCTAACGCATCCAAATATAACACCAATTGACCAAAGGTGATTCAAGGTCGTTTGCAAGGTATACGCTCTCACTACTCCTATATTCTTGGAAATTTGAGAAAGTCAGAAAACTTGAATAATTATGAAATAGCAGTAGGTTCACGCACTCCGTCAAATGTACTGATAAATCATTTAATATCGTAGAGTTATAATCGATTTATTTTCCTTCTTTTCATAAAATTGTACATGTGCAGGACAATCGTCAAATGTTAGATAAATGGCATCAATAATATGAGCTTGTGATCATTGTCGATCTTCACTGGAAGGTGCATTTTCACTCAAAGTGAGCGAAAGTTTCAGACAATGTTTCTGTCTTCTATACTCTGTCGGGGTTAAAAGCACGATTTACCATTGTTCTCAGAATCTAGTACCTCAAGTAGACTACTGCTCTCGGAATAGCCACAAAGCATGGTTCCCAATGTAGGCGCTGACACTAACGTGATTAATCACAATGGGACTACTTGGTACCAATTCCATAAACGTCTGGTGTCCAACAGTCTGCCCCTTGCCTATAGAGATGACGTCTTTCTTCCAACTGAGCCAAAATGGTCTATACTCATTGCAGGAAAGTATAAATGATTCGTAACAAGGCGCCATTTGTGCACACCCCCTACAACGACGAATAAAGGATTTAGAGTTTGCGTATCCTCCGACAACGATCTCATAGGCATCAGTGTTGGTTTTGTTAGGATGAGTGTGTAGGGCAATGTTGGCGTCATGGCAGGTCTTTACTAGAAAGACCAAGGTAGAAGAACCACCGGTTACCTTCCTAAAACTACTCGCTGGTATCTGTTGGAAGGTGTAGGTTCTGAGAACTGGACTGTAGACTTTCACGTAGTCGCCTGGAAAAGGAACACAAAAGATAACAGCTGATAAAGTATACGTTGTTCATATTGCTGCTGCGTTTTCTCGCATGCGTTGACGTTTTTTAGAACGTCTATACGTTTTTGACGTCTATTTAGGAAAAAGGAATTTTTTCTACTTAAAGATTAACCTTGTCCAATGAACTGTCCTGTTCCTCTTATCAGCCCTAGCCCCACGATCTCCTTTTTAAGAATCACAGTCGTCCTTGTTACCATGTTGCATTGACTGGTCTCATGTCTAACTTAAGCGTAGACAGACGTTGGCACAATTCTCGAAGGCTGCGATTGTATAACATATGATTCATTGGTCCTTGGTTTAGAATAAAAACATATAGACGACAACATGCCATTCCATTTTTACGAAAAGTTCTTCTCCTCAAAATTAACATCAGCAGTTGAATAGTATGTAGACTTACATTCGTAATTAGTGACAAGAGTATACGGTACAGATGTACCACATTATTATGCAGCCGCCAGTTAACTGAAAACGCTAATCATTCTGCGCGAACTAAGCAGTGTAAACAGTTTACATGTGGCAAAGAGAGAGATTGTGGTCCCGTTCCTGTTTGAGATAATGCACAAATAAGTCCAGCGGAATTGTGAAAAAACATGTTTTGGCGTCATTGTGAAGTTTTTTGGTTGATTCATCATCTCTGAGCTATCCTGAACCAGAATCAGCCGGGTGCCAGACTGGCATCATTGGGGAATTTTGTTTAGAGGCGAAAAACAAGATGGCCACCACCGATTTTCGATTAATTCTGTTTGAGATAATATCTTCACTTTTGGTGTCTAATACTATGTTGTCATGACCAAGGAAACCAATAATGATATAATTAAAAGTGTACAAATAACATGGGTGTCATATTTGCAATATATATGGTCGAAATCGTATTTCATCGTAACACTGGTGATTGTTCAATTCTGTCTTTTTTTCCTGGTGATTGTGGCAGCAGCAGTTATAGCTACTTCTGACGAGATTACAGGTTGCTTTGTTAAAACGTTGTGCCGCGATTAGGTGGAATGCACTTCCTAATGAAGTTCGTCGGAGCTGTGGGAACTGTTATGAGTAACACAGGATTGACTGAAATCATGCAAACAACCTTTGGTGGTGTCCCAAACATGCTCACAGGTAAGAAATTTCCGCAAAACGTGAAAGCCTTGCGCATGGTGGTTGAAGAGCTTTTGAGGTAAATTATTGTAACAACCGATGATAAGGCATGCCAGAGCAAAACTTTGGATTGAGAACTTGATCAAGCCAATCCTCCCGATGGTGGTGTTTCTAAGGGCTCAATCTATGGGCAGTTGCAGAGAGTATTCCCTATTTCTTTGCGTCCAGTCATTGGAACTATGTCAGGTACGGTCTGTACTATCTTCGATCAATGGAGCATCTACCAGACGAAGAAGAATCATGCTCAAAGAATTCATGCACTGCCATTATAAACAAACAACATGCAGTGTCTATCTTTTTCGATCTAGAAACAGTATATGACACTACATGGAAGTATGGCATTTTAAAAGATTTACATGATTTCGGTTTGCGAGGCCGTTTGCCTCAATTTATATCCAAGTTTTTAACTGACAGGCAATTTCGAGTCCGCGTGGGTTCAACCCTGTCTGATCATTTTAGTCAGGATCAGGGTGTCACACAAGGAAGTATTTTGTCTGTCACATTGTTTAGCATTAAAATCAACAGTTTAGCAAAGGTTTTAAACGATTCAATTGATGGATCGTTTTAGTGGATGACTTTAATGTTTCTTACCGTGGTAAGAACATGCACACGATTGAGAGGCAAATGCAATTGTATTTAAATAAAATCCAAAAATGGTGCCTAAAAAATGGCTTTAAATTTTCCAATTCTAAAACTAACTGTATTCATTTTTGCAGAAGATATAAACCTCATCACAAAGACCCAAAAATAATTTTAAATAACACCCCCATTAAAGTGGTAAAAGAAGCGAAATGTTTGGGTATAATTTTCGATCATCATTTAACCTTTTTACCACATATCAAATACTTAAAGAATAAATGTCTGAAAGCCCTAGATTTGTTAAGAGTTGTCTCTAATTCCAAGTAGAGAGAGAATCAGAAAACCCTCCTCCAACTATACAGAGCTCTTATACGCTATAAACTTGATTACAGCTCCATCATCTATGGTGGGGCTTGTAAGACAAATTTAAAACTATTAGACACTATTATCACCATGGCCTGAGGCTTTGTCTTGGAGCCTTCCGAACTTCACCTATTCACAGTTTGTATGTGGAGGCTGATGAGCTATCCCTTAAACACCGACGCATTAAATTATCTTTACGGTATATCTCTAAATTACGTTCTATTGAATCCAATCCAGCATATGACTGTGTTTTTAATCCTCTGTACAAAAATCCCTACAATAAAAAGTCATCTCTTATTCCAAAGAAATCCGACACAAATCAATTAATTTATCGACAGCAATATAATGAATAACGAAGCACGTATGATACTCATAAATCTATATTTACAGATGGATCCAAGGATGGTGACGCTGTTGCTGATCCAGAACTATCTCAACCAGATTACCAGATAATTGTTCTATTTTCACAGAAGAAGCAAATGCTATTTTAACGGCTCTAAAATACATAACTCAACTCCAAACTCAACATAAACAGTTCATTATTTTTTCAGACTCTCTTTCTTGCATTCAAGCTATTAACTTTTAATGGAAATTGTTTAATTGTTGAATTGTTTAATGAATTTGCTACTGGCCAATACGACACCGTCTTCTGTTGGTTACAAAGCCATGTTGGAATCACTGGTAATACAATGGCCGATGCTGCTGCAAAAGCAGCACTCAACAAATCTGTGACAACACTTTTGATCCCATACACTGATTACAAGCCACTGATTAGATCCTATATTCGTGATCTGATGCAAAAGAAGTGGGACACCCAAGTAGGTATCAATAAATTACATGAAATAAAACCAACTATTGGTTACGCCTACTTGGGATGTCAGTCCTGATTTGAAGAGGTCATTACACAACGATGTCGTGTTGGACATAGCAGGTATACTCATGAATATCTCTTGAAAGGTGAGGATCCTCCATTTTTTATCCCTTGTGATGAGAGAATCACAGTCAAGCATATCCTACTTGACTGTATTGATTTTGCCACCACAAGGGATAAATATTTCAAATTGTCTTCTATCAAGGATCTTTATAGTAGTATCACTTCTCGTTTAATCATTGTTTTTTTTAAGGAAATAGAGTTGTTTGCAAAATTTTGATTGTGTCTTGTAAAATATAAATGTTTTATGATTGGTAGATCAAATTAGCAACTGAGATTGTTAGTGACTGTATCCTCGAAGGGTATGGTGATCTCCCTTCAGTGACTGACGATTTCTAGCCAATTTTTATATTGTGTTGTTCACTGATAATTATGACTTTTATATATTCTCAACTAGTTTTCAATCGAATATGCGATATTCTAGTTATTGTACTGTCCTTCGTTGACAGGTTTTTAATAAGTCTAAATCTACGTATTATTAATGTAATTCTCGTCACGATATGGCTGAAATACTGCCGATGTGACGTTGAATCTTAACTCACACACTCACTCACTCCGGTCCAACAATAGTTATTCGACAATTAATGAATCACAACATCAAAATATCAACAAAATCCTGTCATCTTGTATGTCCACTCCACAAGCGCGTTTGTCAAATCCTCCAAGAATCTTAGATACACCAGTTTCGCTAGAGCTCGGAACTTAAAACAATAATTTCACTCGTGACATATTTTCCGTAATCACTCGTACCTCGTGGGTTATTCTATACCTGTATACCAATTCAGTTGTTAAAGTACTCGGTACTCGGCCATATCAGCCAAAGACACATATATAAAACACACATGACAAACATGCAGTAGTGGAGGGGCAAAAAAGACCTCATGTTCGAGGAAAAAAACTATTGCAGTAATATCTGACACCTTGGTTTTAACAAAACATAGAAAATCCTTTTAAACGACTGAAATTTTCATTGAATCCAATCTTTTGTTTAAGGGCCTGGAGAGACAAGATGCTGTATCACAAACATTAAAAATGTATTGGTCCATTGCCATACATTTCTTCAATGTTATCTCATGATAGGAAATGTTTGTGATCAATGTGAAGCATTGCTTACGATAATTAGATTCAGCATGATAGCAAGCATAAATGTCCACACTAAAACACACGAAATCTTGATAAATATTAACTTGTAGGCAAACTTGGCAGCCATATTGAAGTTTTCACCATTCACATTACTATGCTTGCATCATTATTTGATTTTGATACAATGATAACTGCATTAGTATTGTCTAGTTATACTCATTATGTCTATGTGTTTTGTGGGTGGTTCGGGTGGGTGGTTCGCTGTGCAGAGTTCCGTCCCTTGGGCACGCCAGAAACCTGCGCTTGTGGGTTCGAATCCCGGTTCGCCCCGATTATGCGTCTAGGTTGTCAGCACCATGGCCGTGCTCGTGTGTTTCACCGAAGTGGTAAACGTCCCAGGCCTGCATCACTTTGGGCTTTCCTCCCTCATTAAGCTGACAGGCCGTGATATAACTGTAATAATGTTAAAAGAGGTGTTTATCTCACCTCACTCACTCACTCATGTCATCAGAAACAAGTTTGGAACTCAGTCTTGACAAGTATCTCATAGACAAGCAAGCAAATTTCATTCATGTGACGTCAGTTGTTTTAGTTGTTTTGGAGGTATTTACTCTAGATAGAAATGTTAAAGAAAATGATATTAAAAGTTGCTGAATAAGCTTTGAATCATGTCATAGGGACCACTTCCTTGGTCTAGTGGAGTGTCTTCCCGGAGATCGGAAGGTTGGTGGTTGGACATTCCAAAAGGACATTTAAAGATGGAACTTTTTGTTATCTGGACGGGATCACGACATTAAGAGGACAAAACAGAGACTGGTCGACCCCGTATACGTTTACAGTGTTGGGTGTCTGCTT